AGGAAAAGCAACTCCACATAATATTGTTTTGCAATAATCAAATTGTCATTTTATTTTTTGACTTCTTTACAAATTTAAAATAATGTAAAAAGATAGTAAAATAAATTATTTATTTACGATTTAACCATAAAAACTAGAAAATCTATGAAAGGAAAAAAGAAAAAATTAATAAGAAACTTCAAAAATTTTTTAAGTCTCAATGAGCGAAACAAGTGAAGACCATTTAACATTTTATGATTTTCCATTACAAAAAATAATTATGTCAATTGAGTATCTTGCAATTGCAGTGTTATGTTTTATTCAAAGTATGAGAATTGTTAAAAATCAGTTTGTCATTATTATTTTTTTTTGTTGTTTTTATTTAAGTAAAAAATGAAAGAGAAAAAAAGTGATATTCTTATCATATAGTCATAAATGTTGTGGATTTCAAAATCTTCTTATTATATTTTTAATCTGTTGGTGTTTATTTAGAATATTAGACTCAATGATAAGATTCTTTCTGATATTATTTACTCCTCAACCAGATGATTTTATTGACCAAACAACCTCTGTTGAATGGTTGATTTCTGAGTTTGTTGTATTTCTTTTTTAAATAAAATAAAATAACACCCTTTTTATAAATAATTATTTATTGCATTAGTATTCCTAGTTTTGTAATGGTTGCTCTTCTCTCATTTTTCATTTATTATTATTTATTCCTTATTCATAGCTCTCATTGGAAATATGCCAAATTAGTTTCAGTTATCATTCTTATAACAATAAATCTCTTTCATATCATTTCATTAACATCAATCGACATTTCATTAATGGTTAAACCAACCACAGCAGCAATTCATTTAACTTTTTGTTGTAGCTCATTTGTATATTTGTTTGTTGTAGGAGGGTTGTTGTATGTATCTATTCGTATTTTTTTCATCAACCCACATACTTTAGAACAATCTCATCCAAAACCATCAGCAATGGGAGTTTGTGGTTTAGTTATTTCTTTAGCAATTTCAACTCGTTTAATATATGACCTTTCAAGTGCAATTGTAGGTCAATCTATTTTATCACTCCTTTGTTCTCAAGAAAGTCCATTTTGTTCTGAACATTTTGGACTTGTTGTGTTCTTTTCTCAAATTATTGAGGTTGTTTTAATGTCATTTTGGGAAATTGTTCCATTAACAACGTTAGTAATTTTATTCTGGAACATCCCTTCGAATAAATCATATGACCCATTCCCTCACTTTCAATATCTTGTTGAAGAAACAGATGATTCTTCATACGTCACATATGATGCAACTACTCCTTTGAT